CCGGTCATATGGCATCCATGATCCACAATTCATTATTATCATCATCATCATTACCCATACCAGTCACCTGTCATTCATCAAACACAATTCACCATTCATCATTATCACCCATCATCAGTCACCTGTCATCCATCCTCTACAATTCATCATCCATCCATCATCATCACCCATCACCAGTCATATGTCATCCATGATCCACAATTCATTATCATCATCATCATTACCCATCATCAGTCACCCATAATTCATCATCCACAATTCACCATTCATCATTATCACCCATCATCAGTCACCTGTCATCCATCCTTTACAATTCATCATCCATCCATTGTCCATCACCCATCACCCATCCATTCACAAAGACCTTTACCTAACCCACTGGACTCCCTTATTAACTTTCTCCTCAATTGTGGCTTGTTTTCTGGCCTGGAAGATCTGTACTTTCAGCACTTAGGTGATGTTACAAGACCCCTTTTCAAAACAACGCCTTCCCTAACAGTAGACCCCCAATGGTGGTCTTTATGATGCGGTGGATTTTATGATGTGTACATTACATGACATTAAAATTATTCTGTAAAAAAATCATTTCCATTACTGAGTATGCTAGCTATTCTAGCTTTCTGTTGCTAAAGCAAAACACCAGAGTCTGGATACTTACAGGAGTGTCCAACCTATGGCTTGTAGCTGGCTGCATGTAGCCAGATCTATGGATATGGCTCAACATTGTAAACTTACTTAAAACACCGAGACTTTTTTTTTTTGTGTGTGTAACTTGATTGTGTTATTTTGAAGCATAAACTTGACAGGTGACATTGTGTCTCAAAGTCAAAAGGTTGGACACTCCTGAAACAAAAGAATTAATTAAGTTTTATAACATTTATTTCTTTTATGTGTGTGTAACAATAATAATTAAAAAGAGGTTATGAATTTGAGAAGGAGTGGGAGAGGCATGAGACACAGGAAGAGCTGCAGGGGAGAAGGTGAGGTAGAAATGATATAAATGCAGTACTCATGTATGAAATTCTCAGAAAAAAAGTGAAAATAAAAAAACCAAAACTTTTTTTATTCATCTATTTATCTAAAACAAAACTTTTAAGACACACATGCAGATGAGAATACTTGTAGCCATAGAGTAACAGAAATATAATAATGTGAGCCACATGTGTAATGCTTTCTGGAATTTTCCTTGAAAAGTTGTACCAAACAGAATTAGTGACAGTGTAGTTCATTTCATCTGATATATTCATAAGATGGTAATTTTTGTGGCACACATGTAGAGTTCAGTAGACAACTCTGTGGAGTCAGTTGGGATCCAAGGATAGAACTCAGGTCTTCAGGCTTGGTGGCAAGCTCCCCTACCTGCTGAGCCATCTCACAACCCCCAAATCCCGTATTTTATTTTTTAATTTTAATTTTTTGTTTTTATGGGACAGGGTTTCTTTTTGTAGCCCTGGCTGTCCTGGAACTCGATCTGTAGACCAGGCTGGCCTGGAACTCAGAGAACTGCCTGCCTCTGTTTCAAAATCCTGTATTTTATACTAAGAAAGCTGCATTTCAGGTACTCAGTAGCTGTGTCTGTGTGAATGGCTGTTGGATTGGTGACCTTTATAGTAGACTTTAGGCTTCTAGAAACATACCATAGTGTACTGAAATTCTGATGTCATCTTTAGCATTGCATTTATGAATCCTAAGACATTTATTCAAATTGCTTCCCCAAAAGCGCACGACCCGTTGCTATGGTGAGATATCCATAACTGGGGACAGGAATGGTGTCCTTGCCCTCATTGCCACACAAACTTATGGAGGAAGTGGTCAGTCCTGTGGATCAGGCTGAGTTGGACAAAAAGGGCTTTGACAGGTGATGCTTAGGAAGATGAAGGGCAGAGCACTTCAGGAGAAGGCAGGAGGAAAGGGTTCGTGCAGCAGTGCTCCTAGCATGTTCTCAGGAGTTTGGTTCACTTGGAGCAGGCCTGTGAATGGCTTCTGAAGAGCGTGGTGTGGCTGAGCTGGAACTGGGACTGAGCTATGGGAAGCCACCTGCAAGGGAGGTTGGATGCTCTTCCTGTGAGCAAGCTGTGGGTTTGTATTCTTGCTTCAGCAGGCAGACAAGCTGTTGATTTTCCTTATTTTCATTTGTTCTATTGCAAGAGAAGGTTATTGAAATCCCAGGGGTATTATGAGGATTACAGAAACTAGTGGTAATCCCATCTGTGACTCCTGCGACTATAGAGACCATCTCCCTGGTAGATTCCATACACTAAGTTCATACCAGTTTTTCAATGTGCCTGCATTCCAGGGACACCCAGAGAACAAGAATATATATCCTTGGAGCATGTATTCACTGGTTTTATGTGTCATCTTGACACAGCTAGAGTCATCAGAGAGGAAGGAGCCTCAGTTGAGGAAAAGCCTCTATGAGATCCAGCTGTAAGGCATTTTCTCAACTAGTAATCAGTGTGGGAGGGTCTAAGTTATGGTGGGTGGTGTCACCCCTGACCTGGTGGTCCTCGGTTTTATAAGAGAGCAGGCTGAGCAAGCCGTGGGGAGAAAGCCGGTAAGCAGCATCCCCCACCCCATAGCCTCTGCATCAGCTCCTGCTTCTCGGTTCCTGCCCAGTTTGAGTTCCTGTACTGACTTTCTGTAAACAAAATAAACCTTTTCTCCCCAGCTTGCTTTTTGGTTCTTGTGTCTTCATAGCAATAAAACCCCAAGACAGAACATAAGAATCAAGCTTAGGGTTGACACCTGGAAATTCCTTCAGTGTTGTTTTATGTGTGTAGACACCTGTTTTTGGTTGTTTACCAATGTGCACAGTCCATCTCCTTTTCTATATGGGGCCCGGAGTGTTACACCAGCTTCCATGTTCTGTTGCTGGTTATGTTCTATAGATGCCACTCTGGCCACAGTGGTAATTCCCAGTGCCCCAGGTAATTCCACTGTATGAGGTTGACCAATTGCTTGTTAGGCAGCCTGTGGTCCTCACAGAATGCCCTTATTTAGCCTGACTTTCACCTGTGCATATATAATCTTCACAGACAAGCCAGGACACCTTAACTTTGTCCATCCTCTTACATGTATGTTTTCATGTGTGAGCTTGTATGTGTGCCAGAGATCAGCCTGAGGTATTATTCTGCAGGAGCTGTCCATGGCATTTTGAGACAGGGTCTCTTACTGGGACCAAGCACATGGCAATTAAGCCAGGTTGGCTGGCTCTCTTACACCCAGCTCTTTATATGGGTGATAGGGATTGAACTTAGGTCATCTTGCTCCGTGTGGCAAGTATTATAACAACTGGTCTTATATTTTGTATTTGATTTTTATATTTAATCAGCTTAGAAAATAGGGACAGAGATCAGGTGACTGGTACCCGGTACCCGAGGGATCAGTAGGTTTATTTGGCAGGAGGGTGCTCTTTCATGCAAAGAGAGTGAAAATCACCCAGATGAAACTGGCGGACCAGGGGCAGGCTGCTGACTTAGTGGGTCTCCTGGTGGGAGGGAAATGCTTCCAACCCGTCCTGCTCCCACTCAGAAGGAAGCACATTTTTTGGAGGGGGGCGGGGGAGGGTGTTTCAAGACAGGGTTTCACTGTGGCTTTGGAGGCTGCCCTGGAACTAGCTCTTGTAGACCAGGCTATTCTCAAACTCACAGAGATCCACCTGCCTCTGCCTCCCGAGTGCTGGGATTATAGGCGTGTTTCCGCCCGGCAGGAAACACATTTTTGAAGATGGAACTTCTTGGTACCTAGGGACTCACACTGCTCTTCTGTTGGCTTTGCGTTCCAGCTGTGCTGTGCATATATGAGTTACATAAAGAGTAGCGTGGTGGGGGTAGTGGTAGTTCTTAAGATAGGCAGGCTATTAATACATTATCAGGCAGGAGTGAATTCTTTTCCATCTAGGCTTGGTTTTGGACCGGCTGAATCTCCTTTGTGGTGTGTGGGCAGGTACTCCCGGTTTCTGCCCCCTGGCGTCCATTTTCAGCCCGACTCCTCTTTCCCTCTCCCGCCTCCCCCAGGGCCTGTCCTGGCCATGGCTTTGCTTTGAGGAGACCTCCTGCATTGCAAGGAGGAAGCTGGGAAAGCATTGACATTTCTGTGGATGGAGAGAAAGAATTGAAAAACTGCACAGAAGCCTCCAGCTTTGGAGAGAATTCATTTATTATCTTTTGGGCACCATTGGTGCTGGGTAGAACATCTAGACCATTGACATTGAGGAGAAAATTGGTAGATTTTGAGCAATAAATAGTTTTGAATGTTTAATTGTTTATAATATCATCCCTCCAATCTTGCCTTTTTTCCAGAAAAATTTTGAATTTTTCATTTTTTTAGGCGAAAATGGTTGAATATTGAATCTTGTGTCACTCAACCCAAGAACAGCAAAAATTTTGTGCTATCTATCCCAGCAGGATTTTGGAAGAAATTTTGTGTCATTTCCACTACTTAACAGCAAATCTTCTTGTTGTACAATTGGGAAAAAGAAAAGCATTTGTTTTGCTAATTTTTTTTGGAAATAGCCTTTTAAAGGATGTAATTAGTATTTTTAATGTTGTAGGGTTCATAGTTCCATTGGTTCTTAATTTCTCCTCAAGTAAGATAAAAATAAATCCGGAAGAGGATAAATTTGGTAGCATTTAAGACAATATGGACACAGTCCTCATGTATCAGCGGTATTCCCTCCCCCCCCCCCACAAAAAAAGGATGTCAACTTCTTCAAATACTCCACTTCGGTGGGGGTTTTTATCATCATTCTTCAGACCATTAAATACTCAAGGGATGAAGACAAAGAGAAAATGCAGTCCTGTAATCCACAGAGGATTAATCAGAAATAAGATTGAGGAGCCCCCAGATCCTAGGCTTAGCCCATAGGGCCTCACGGGATGGCACCCATGAAAAGAATTTGCACAGGGGCTCAGCACAAACTCCATTTCACCACTATGCATTATCACAACTCTATTGCTTGCTGACTCTTTCTCCTGTGTTTTTTTCTCTTTCTTTCTCAGGTTTCCACAGCTGGATTGTCTGCTAGACCAGATTGTCACCAGTGATCCAGAGGCTTGTTTGGGTGGTCAAGGTGAGTTCACATACACTCCTCTTTGACTTATTACTCTGTTTGCAGTTACCTCTTGAGTTCCTCCCACTTGCTGGTATCTCAGTAAATAGTTGCCACTGTTTTTATTTATTTTTTGTAACTGATACCATCAGTTAAATAAGTCACTGAAAATGAATTCTCACATGAAAACTTATTTCACTTTGTCTTTTTGCAAGTGTGAATACATTCAGATGGCAATTGCAGCTCAAGTTCCAGCTTCATGGTTTGTTAATGGTTTTAAATTTGTAATAGATACCTCTTTCTTAGTGGTAATTAATCTTGTACCAAACAAAAGGTTCTCTTGTTATTGTAGTCACATCGATTGACAGAAATGGGGCAAGAAGCTGCAGCAGTGCACGGGGCTTGGTAAACTATGTGCTTGATAAACGAAGTTACCCAGAGATGCTAGCCTGGTGGCTCACATCTGCAGAACCAGCACTCAGAAGCAGAGGCAGGAGGATTACTGCCTGTTGTGATATATAGTAACTTTAGGCTGAGTTGCTTTACTTCTGTCTCAAAAATAAAAACTGATGAACGAGAAAAGCCCAAACCTCAGAGAACAAAGCCACATGGGTGGCAGGGTCAGAGTTCTTTAAACAAAACCTATTTAACCTAGAGTGGAAGCTATAGTGAACAACCAGGGCCAGGGAGAGTTTCAGACATTGAGAAACGCTTCCAGGAGTGGGGGTGGTTAGCCCATATGGCATTATGTGAGAATTGGACAAAAGCATTCCTTCCATATGACATTTTATTCCCATCTAATTGGAAATTTGTTGAACTAAACCGATTTTTGGAAAAAGACACTTGATTACCATATGCTAGAAAATTATAATGTAAGTAGTCAAATTACCTATCAGGAATGCATCCAAGTTTTAAGGAAGATACAATTTAAAAAATAAACTGAGTTGTCCATGTGAGTAGCCAGTGCCTATGTGCTGCTTTTCCTGCAGTGCAGTCTGAACGCCCTGCAGGGCAGTTCTGCCTTGTTGGGACCTAGCTCATGGTAGGCAAGGAAGGAAGCTTTTTATTAAGTTCTGGTCATAGGAGATGGAGGATAGAATTAGGAGTTTGAGGCATGACTTTTATTGGCAATTTAGGTGGTTTGAAAGGAATTTAACAGATGTGTAGAAACATCTATAGGTTTGGAGTCTTTTGATCTTCTCGAGAGTAAAATTAGGGGAGAAAATGGTAACGTTTTTGAGCGGGCGGCGTTGAGACAGGGTTTCCATGTGTAACAGTCCTGGCTGTCCTGGAACTCACAAGGGCAGGCTGGCCTTGAACTCACAGAGATCTGTCTGCCTCTGCCCCCTGAGTGCTGGGATAAAGGCATGCACCACCAAGAAAATGGAAACTCTTTTAAATGAACTTTCTGGCTAATTCGTGTAGTTCCATGCTTGGTTGTCAACTTGACACACCCAGGAATGAAGGAACCTCATTTGTGGATTTGCCTTTATTAGCTTGGCCTATGAGCCTGGCTGTGGGGCATCTTCTTGATTGCTGATTGATGTAGGAGAGTCCCGCCCACTGTGGGTGGCACCATCTGTAGGCAGATGGGCCTGGGCTGTGTAAGGAAGGCAGCTGTGGTCTCTGCTTCAGTTCCTGCTGTGAGTTCCTGTCTTGCCTTCCCTTGATGATAGACTGTAAGTATAAGCTGAAATAGACCCTTTCCTCCCTGGGTTTGGTGAGTGTTTCAATACAGCAACAGAAAGCAAGTGAGGAAAGTGTTATAAAGTACATTTTAGTCAAGTGAGTTTGTTGCTTCGATAGGCTGCCAGCTGTGTGGTACTTTAATTTTCAAAGATTGCTTAAACACGCATTATCTTTAGTACCAGGGAGTTGATTTCAGGATGTTGAGTGTGTTCATAATGACCAGCCCTTCCTTACTTGCAAATTTTCATAATTAATCTTCTGATGAAATTGAAAGCTATTATCTCAAATGTTGGTGTGTAGATATTGAGAGATAAGACACAGGAGATGCGGCACAGTACTTTGGGGCCAGATATGGAGTAGAAGGTAGGAACATAAGATTAGTAATTAGAAAGTTGTTGAGAGAGGCTGGGGAGATGGCTCAGTCAGCCATATAGGCATGGGGACCTGAGTTAGGATATCTAGCACCAACATACAGAGCTGGGAACACATCTGTAATGCCAGCATTGGGGGCAGGTGGAGACAGAAGGAACTTTGGGCTCATTGGCCAGCCAGTCTAGCTGAACTAGCAAGCTCCAGGTTCTGCAAGAGACCCTGTCACAAAGAATAAGGTGGAGAGTGATAGAGGACACATGATTGATCTCTGGACTCCACCTGCATATGCTCACATGTGTACATACCTGCACATACCTTGCACACATGCGTGTGCACACACAAGTTGCTGAAACAAAGAACATCAGACCACACATACAAAACACATGGCTTCAGATGTATATAGCTTCACTTCCCTGGGGACTGGAAACCCCAAGGGCCTCCAGGTTGGGGACTCTAAAGAAGTTTTCTCAGTGATACCTTGCTCAGCTCATCTGCACATTTTGCCTTGAGAATAACCATGAACAGGCATGGACAGTAGCCATCATGTCATGTCATTCCTGTGTTATTCTCATGACCCATGTCCTCCCTGCCTTTGCAGGGTGCAGGACTTGGTACTGTTAATACAGAAGCAGAGGAAGGCAATTAGGAGAATCGGTGAGATTTTTTTGGTGAATTTCTGTTTTTATGTCTGGAATCTCCCTGCCCTCTCAGAACACAAATAATCAACACTTTGAAGCAAAGATAATTCATATCATGTTTTTATGAGAGAGAGAGAGAGAGGTGGGGGGAGGGAAGCGAACCAGGGAGATTCTACTCGCCCCCTATTGCTTCTTAGCTGGAGTTATTGTGTTTGGTTTTTCCTTTGTCTTTAATGTACCATGGAGAGTAGGGAAATGAAGACATTTTTGGAGCTGATGTTTGGCACCTGCGATATTGAACTAATAATTTTGTGTTTCATTTTTCCTCACCTCTCAGAGGGGAGGACGATTGTTTGCTTGTAGAAAACACCGAGGGAAATGTTTGACAACAGCAGCTTAATGCATGTTAAAATGAAACAGGATGCTAGACCTCCCGATGATGGTGTGATGTGTCTTATCACTGTGCATCCAAATAATGGGGCCGGTTATTCTGTAGAGGATGTCAGGTTTGAGGATGGTGTAAAGCTATGTATCTCTGGCAGGAGCTTTCAAAGAAAGGGAAGGGAGTGGGCTGTCCTGTGGTGGGGACCATTAGGTTCCAGAGTACTCTGCTTGGCACATACTTAGTTCAGAAGGACCTAACGCCACCCACGTGGTCAGGACCTCTATGAGAGGGGAAGCTGCTTTGCTCAGTGCTGTGCTGGGCCTAGAACACATCTCAGGTTGTTTATTTCTCACAACACCCAGGTTGTGTGACCTAAGTGGAGAGAGGCATGCTGGGACTGCAGCCAGATACCACTCTCTTGACTAAATGCTCGGATCTTGGACAGGCTCCTCTCTGCTGGTTTGTCTTAGAGTTTCTGTTGCTGTGATAAAACACCATGACCAAAAGTGGCTTGGGGAGAAAAGAGTTGACTTCAATTATTGTGGCGGCCCATGGCCACCATTAAGTCTGAGTACCGGGCAAAAGCCTGGAGATTTGGATGAAAGACAAGATGCCTGGTGCACTTTCTGAGAGAATGACTCTCATCTTTATTGTCAAGCAGCCTTATATACAAACTTACAAAAACCCCAGGTCAAAGGGTTCACAACAGGATATTGATCCTAGTGGTGTGAGGTCAGGAAAACAGGAGGTACCTGTGGTTATGGTGGAAAACAACTCTTAGAGACCCCGTTGGGGTCCCAACATCTACCCCTTCTTTATATATAACAAAACAGTTATTAAGTAAGAACTATAAGATTTCAACCATTCTTAGTGCGTTACTATAACTATCTATCTTCAACTCCATCAAAGACCATAGAAGCTTAATATATAAACTCTAGAATCGACAGAGACATCTTGCTTCCTAGGTAGTCACCCAAACTTTCTTGGTAATGTTGGGGCATCCATTTTTAGCCTACAGGCCACAATGTGTCTGGCAGACTTCTCAGCAAAGCAGGAAATTCTAAACTGTCCACCTGCATTGGCAATTTGTCTGTCACCTTTTTTCTGTGTCCTGTAGAATGTCTGGCAGACTCTTCTATGAAGAAGGAACCTTTTATGACTCTCCGTATTGTTTCAGCAATCAATTTCCTGTGGGTCCTGCATCCAGTTTATAAAGCAACAGTCAAACAGTTCAGGCAAGAGCACTTTCTTGCCCAAATAGCTAGCCTTGCCATGTCAAAGGCAAACTCTATAACAAGTTTCTTCGATGCCTATCTTCCTCTCAGAAGTAATTGGTGTGCCAGGAGCAGTTGTGTCTCACTGTCAAGAAAAACCCTAAACCATTTAAATGCCATATTTTCTGTAGGTCTTTGAAAGGTTTGGAAATATCTATATATCTAGAAAACCTAACTAATATCAACAAATGAAGATCCATTCCAATACAAAGTATCAACAAATGAGGATCCATTCCAATACAAAGTATCATTTCTATATCATATTCCTCCTTTTTCCTTTAAAAAATGATTGATTGTGACCAGTACCATTTCTAACCAACCAAATTTAAATGAAAACAAATATTTGGATCACCTGGGCCACTGCTTCAGGGGGTCCTGCCCCATGAAACCACACCAGTCTGGGAGCAATCCACAGCCCTTCACCTTCCATGGAAAGAAAAGCAGAAATTTTCCTCCCAAGTAACCTGTACTTTAACAACTGTTGCTCCTTCCCCAGCAATCAAACAATTTAAAGACAACACAATAGCACTCTTTTGTTAACAGTTAACACATTTGCGATCACATTTCATACATCCATGTGTGGCCACACCACACATACAGGACATACATACATCTTTTAAACAAAACTTACAAAGGAGAGGAGGTGTCAGGGGATGGCCATCC